TATACATTATACACTGTAACTTTTTTCATGGTGAAAATTTATTCGCGAGCTTATTTTCCATATTATTGATTCGCGGGGTACTTTCGAAGTACACTCAATAAAACAAAATATCGACTACGTTTAAACCGTCGACGCAAGAGAACAAACAAATAAAGGCTCTCGAATTTAATTTCACCCTGTTTGTCGATGTATTTCAAAACATATTCAATGCATTATTAAAAATATATCTAGTCCCCCTGTGTACGAACCATGGAAACTTCTTTTTGTATTAAATGCTCTATGTAAGGGTTGATAGATACGAAATTTATATGGCACAAAAAATTATTTACCTTAAGGTTCTATAGGGTAAGGCTCTTGTTGGATTTTTTATTGTGAGATTTGTATGGATGTGTTATAACAAGACAAATCTTTTCACAACCCGTTTACAGCGATACACAATGAACCTAGTTCAGTGCAAACTGAACATCGCTATTATTCGTGAGTGATATTTACAAGTGTGATACAATTAAAGAAGGCCTTATGAATATAGGCAATTTATATCTCCCAAATCTAATTAAAGCATAATTAAAGTGATTGGTTGGTTTAAGTTTGGTATTGTGTCATCACATTGGTCAGTTCAAATTTCGTATGGTGTTTTATTTTTATATACCTAATGTAAAAGAGTAACCACCAGTCGCATTGCATAAACTGTGTCAATTACAATGCAAATGAATAAATAAATATTCATGCATGAATAATGTATTTGCATTCAATTACAAGATAAGTAAACGGATTGTAAAAAAGATGCTTCGGGTTTTAAGAATGTAAAGAATGAATGGTATAGGGATCACATCTTCCTATATTTTCACAAGTTGTTAGGTCGAATGTTGATATTAGAATATTTTTAGCAATTAAAACAAAAAGAAGGCAATTTCCATTTATCTAGACGGCCTAGCCGACTAAAATTTTATATAACAAAAATGTATTGGAATTTGTAATAGAATTAAGATTACAATTTAACGATGTATTAAAATTTCGTTTATTTGATCTCAAAGCTTCTGACTGAGTGTCTCTGCTATTTCTTATTGAATTGTTAAAATCGACTTGGATCCTGAAAAATATAAATATTGATGTTTTTTGTTCCACCGTGTATGCGGAATTAAAAGAACGAATTCCTTTTATTGGCAATACGTGTCATGTACAAGTCCGTAATTCGACACCGGCTCGAAAAGTAACTTCTTTATCTTTATTTGTATATAGTAACGGAAAAGTACGGACTTACTGAAAAATCTTTGAAAACCACACAAAGTTCAGTTTCCAACAAGCCAAAGGCACATCATGATGCGTGCAATGGGCATACAGTGTGTTTAGTAAACAGTGCGATATTTTTAAATGTTTTCATGGCAATAACAATAACTATTTGTAGTGTAATTTTTTAATATTTACTAAAGATAAATGTCGACTTTACGTACAAAATAGTTGACATTTTTTTTTGCGAATTTTCAAAAGCTTCGGATTTACAATATGATCCTACTAAAATTGTGACACTAATTGGGAAGCTAACCGAGCGTGATTTTGTGGGTTGTGAGTCGCGTGTGTTGTGTAATCATGTTTATATAAAACACGCGTATTTACATCTAAATATGCTATAAACAGCAATCCTCAAGTGTGAGACTGAATGCTAGTACGCGACTTACAACTCATAAGATTGCGTTCAGTTGACCTCGCCTTTATTGAACACCCTGTATATTACAATTTTTTATGGGATACCAGTCGATCTTTATTTATTTTGGCAAATAGACAATGCCAAATGATTTAAAATTTTATTTACAAAAAAAAATTACGTTCGTTTAAAATTTGATTGTAAGTTCATTTATCTCATTATCATCTAATGAGCATCACAATGTTCTGTCCATTAAATATGGCCAAACGGACTTATGAATTCATTTAGTGTAGTGCGAAGTACTATTTTTAAGTTTAATAATTTAGTACAAAAAAGTATAAAATATCTTTTACGTTGATATTTCATGAATCAGTCGACACAGGATATTTCAACGAAATATCCTATATTACATTTGAAAATGTGATGAACGCTCTGTGAAATATTTTTCATGAAATTTCGTAGTCCGCCAGTTCTTTGTTTCACGACAGATTGTGTCTGTGTGCAATACATTAATTTCCATGTTAAAGGATATGTAATTTAAATGTTTAAATACTGACACTTGATTGTCATAAAATTAATTTCCTTTGGATATTTTTAAGCGAAGTGATGAGATTTGTTATTTTACCATAATTTGCAAGTATGATTTGTATTTATTGTACAAATAAAATTTTGCATTAAAAAATTTAACACGTCTTTTATTCAACATTCCATTTTCAAACATTTTTATATTTAGAAATACAATTGTAAACAATAACAGCATTAAATGTCAACATTCTAAATAACATTTATTTAATGAATAAGTAACAAATTGTATAAATAATTGAGTTACTTGGGGAAAAGGCCCCATTTGGTAACCTTAGTGTTTTAAGAACTATCCAGGTTACCGATAACTAATATGTGCAATAACTAAATTGTCTACACAAAACACTACTAAATGGATGGCATTAGTTAGAGATTTATTACCGATTCGGGGCGGTTTTACGCTTTAAGGTCGATTGGAAATAGTGACATCGTGGTAAAGGAGTTAATAAACTACAAATAACCGTATTAATAACAAAATAACTAATGATAACTATTTCGTTAATAAACACAGTTTAAATACACAGTTCAATAGATTGATTTAAAGTATCTGACAACCTTGTGAGTGGGAACTTTTCCTCATAATGGTAAACAAGGCTACATCATTCATGAACTTATTTAATAAATAATACAACAGCATGTAGCACGTGAAGCGCCTTGCAAGTATTGTATATAATCTGACAAAAATAAGAAAGAAGTATACTGATCGTCACTCACAGGCTCATGTAATATTAAATGTTAAAATATGTCTTTTACCTTCCGTAGTCCCCGTATACATCAAAATGTATACATACATACAGGGTGGCCCATTTACAGTGGCCTACAAAATTTTTTTAGATAGAAAATACATTTATTTAGCACGAACACATGTTACAATATTATGATTTTATGCTTAAGTGTATTGCACTGAAAAGGGCCCAACTAAGCAAATACTGCGGCGGAGCCACAGCGCTGGTTTTCAGTGGACCCTTTTCGAATTAGAGGACATTGTAACGAATAATTTAAAATAAGTATTAGTTCGGCGAAAATGAATAGTTTGGAAGACAATTAAGGTAAATTTAATTTAACTAATGTTTTCTTTTGAGAAATTAAGTTAAAATTCAGTTCATTTAACGATTGTGATACAAATTGTCAATTTTAGTTTTTAATGATGGTAACGGTGACATTGCAAGTCATGTCAAGTCATGAAGATGTTACAATAGTTGCTACATTACTATTTTATTTGTAATCAGTCAATAAATACATCTTAAGGTAGTTTTTAAGGCCATTAGCAAATCCTGATTTTACATTTTTCAGTCGAAAATTTTTCGAAAATTAAAATTTTATCGTGAACTAACAAAAATCTCTTATATGTCTAAAATAACGGTGTAATCTAAGAACAAACTCAAAAATGGCTCATTGCTTGCTAGCCATGCAAGCACACACTACTTCTAAATTTTAATTAATTTAGTGGAATAGTTTTCAAACTAGAATGGTTTTAAGGACTAGAGTAGAAGATTTTCATAATTTCTAAACTATTGATTCTTGCTGAACTAATGTTTATTTTAAATGGGTTGTTACAATGTCCTTTATTTTATTTTGGACTACTATTAATGGGTCACACTATAAAATAAAAATCTCCTAGTGATAGAATCGTAACCATTAAAGCTGTGTGATTCGCGTGAGATCTTGTTCTTGTGCATATATGAAGGTATATGGCAAGAAACAAGTTCGATAACTTGCTTTTGTTTACACAATTATTCGGTGAATTGAAAGTAATTGCCGACCCATCTAAAGACTTGTGTGGAACTGCTGAATTTTTGTGCGAACAGTCAGCGGGTACGTGCAGACAAGAAAAGAAAGATGAGACCTTCTACTTCTTACACTTATGGTCGCGAAAGAAATGGAGCGAGGAGATGGCTGGATCATTATATAGTTAGTAAGTCTGTTTGGACTGTCTCTTTTTTTATAATATCAATAAACGGGACAAACAAGTAGTGCGCCTGATGGTAAGCTATACGCTTGTCCATAGCAGTTGCAGTGCCAGCAGGGTCTGTAATTTTACCATATATACTATACTTAAGTTTTGTATGAGGTTTATCCATCTGACCACTATCCTTTATTGATTGAGTGTAATTTTTAAGAAGGTGTATAATTTATTTATTTATTTATTTATTTATTAGACGAACACAACAGTCGACATTCAAGAAATATTTAACAAATAAATTTGCTTAAAACTAGATTTGGACCAGAATGCCAACCAGGAGCGTGTACGTACAGCATGTTTTGAAAGTTTCTGTCAATTAATTATAAATTACAAATTTTGTGTTGGTACAAATAGAGCAAAAGAAATTAAATAATTACTTAAGTCAATGGAAAGCTTAGTGTCTTATTCACGATAAAGCTTAACATCATATAGCATCACACACGAAATCAAATACTGTTGTAGATTTAAATTGTGGAATTGAGAAAATACGTATACATCTATTTGCCAAGTTTTATTGAAATATCCCCTAGTTCGCCACTATACAGGATACGCCCGTCAAGGCGTATCACTGACGGAGGGCTTGGCCCGGACGCCCGCTGTTCCTAGGTCTTGCCGGGGAGCCCGTAGTCTCTCCGGACAACAAGTCGTGCGCCTTGTGGTAACCTGTCCATAACAGTTGCATTGTCACTCAGAGCTTTAAATCGCAAAAAAATTGAAGGGCACTGCAATGCGCGCGTCACTCTCAGACATAAGTTGACAAGTGTCATGTGTCTGTAATTTCACCAGCACCCTTACCCTTCAAAACCGGAACACGGTAAAGCTGACATTACTTCTTGGCGGCAGAAATAGGTAAGGTGGTAAACTGTACGTGCACTGGGGCGGCTCACCCGAGGCATTAGCCTCTTTAGAACCGGATGAAGTCAGTGACAACGGTCTGTGACAACCCTCTACACTGGCTGGTTTGGGGTCAGAATTTGAACTTATAAGGTTATAGTACCCTTCCCGCATAACCAAGAGGTTGATAGGGAGGGTCACTATAATCAAAACTTATGTAGAAAAGGTATGGGAGCTGGTCTTGCTTACCGTTAGTTGCGGAGAGCGCAACGGGAAGTGAGCGTGCCTACAGCTCCGATACCTATTTGGAAAATAGTGAGGGTGCTGGATGTGCACCCGGAGCGGCTCACCTAAGGCAGCATTTTGAGAACTGGTTGAAGTCCGCGCAAACGGGCTGATCTGGGGTCAGAAGGTCCCTGTGCGGGCTGCTCGTACAGGTTATAGTGCCCTTCCTGCATAACCAAGAGGTTTAGAGTGAGGGTCAGTCAGCACCCACCCGAACCCCATTGATACAGTCCGCTATTTTGATGCTTATCTTAATGATTGAGCGATAGAAAACATTTTCTTAAAATTCTTAAAATTTCACAACTATGGTATATATTCTAACAAAACCAAGCCCCAACAAGTACAATGACCTGCTTAAAACTATTACCCTACTCTTCCCTATATACTATTTAGCGTTAGTCGGTTAAAAACCCATTTTAACTAATGTCTAGGCCATTAAAATCGTTCAAAATTTTCAAAGATTAAAAACTGGTCTCTCAAGCCATTTTCTCCACCAATACCATCCTCAGGCAAAGCATATTGCAGTCCATCTGACTCTTTGTTCGGCGAAAATTCTATTAGATTTTTGTTACTTTTTTCTAAATCATATAGCCTCCATGCAGCTAGATATCTTGACTTGCCATGTAATGCTAGTACGTACACATTGTTAGGATCACTAGTGTACGAGTTGTCTGGATTTTTGATGATGATGACGCCGCAAATAAGTGCCCAGTGGGCTGTGTGCCCCTTCCGAAGACACGGCGAGTGGTTGCAGTCTGCGTCATAACTGAGTTTTGCCGTTCAGGATTTTTATGTTGCAATGTAAATTGTTTATTGAAATTAAAAACACCTAAAAAGTTTTTAAGAAAAAAGGCTGCACAAACATGCTGTTTTATCATCTCTCTCCTTACTGCTGTATCTGTACATTTTGTCATAGCACAGACATTATAAGCTTGAGAATTAGGAATGGGTAATATAGCTTTTTTTGAATATCGTATCGAAACTATATATCAATATTCGAAATCGGATTTCGAAACTATATATTCATGGATACAGCCCGCGTGCGCGCTGCGTTGATACATCGCCGTTACTGATATGCAGAATCAGATTTCGAAACTATATATTATTGGATATAGTTCTACAAGTGCCAATGTTAGTATACAGTTTCGAAGACGCACAAAAAACGGTTTCGCGTTGCTATTCACTCAGTGAATATATAGTGAAAATCTGATACGAAGCAATATTGGTATATAGTTTGGAAAATATATGATTTCGTATTGGTATCCACTCGGTAATCGCTCGGCTTGATTCGGCATCGCTATAAAATACGCGATGCGGAGTAATATAGATATATAGTTTCTAAGATATACGATATCTGATTTTCGATATTGCCACAATATATAGTTTCAATAACAATGTATATACGATTTGTAACGCCCATTCCTATTGAGAATAAATTTTCCAATATGGTAAATCTAAGATGGCCGCTATACAAAATTGAATTTGCTGAATCTATGCAACTATCGATTTTGTACGGGTTGTCTTGTGAAGTACGTTCCTGGCAATCTTGATATAAACCATGTATGACACTGGTAGAATTGTACTCAGTGGGGCAGTCAGAAGCCAAAACACCCACAAAAAAAGAATATTATTTTAATAGTCGTTGTATGCCTACCTTTTTTAGATATGCATATAAACTAATTGACAAAAATAGTCTAAGAGCTACAGATAGCTACAGCTCAAAATGACAAGTGCTAAACTGAAGATACATTGCCCTACAATATTTGCGCAAGGCTAGTTATGACAGTCACTAACTGGAGAAAAGATATGGACGTCTGCGTAAATAAATATTTGCACAATTTTTTTAACAGCCTATAATAGTGTTCTATTATAAACTTCCAAAAAATATTTTATTTGAACGTAACTCAAATGTTTTTTCTAGAAAAAATATAATTACGAATTATGTATGAACAGAATACAACACATCTAAAAAAATTAAAATTTCGTACAAATTGAAACTATTTTTCTGGATTTAAATCGAAACAAACTAACGTTTGGGGTCCGAAACGCTCTGGGTTGTTTGAAAAAATGAATATACGCGATTTATATGCGGAAAAATAGTTTCATTTCCTATGTGTAGCAATAGCGCAAACCTAAGAACTCCATATCAAAATTACATTTACAATCATTGACCTACCAATAAATGGACGTCGGGTTCGCGCTAAAAAGAGTCCGCACCTATAGGGCGTTAAAATCGCATACAGAGCGTCAATCGCGCAACAGTCTTCATTTGTTCGAGTGAGAGCGCGGTAGTCAATCATGCAGTACCATATAATAATAACTTGTAAAAATTACTGCAGTAAAGTCATTGACTTACAAATAAATGGACGTCGGGTCCGCGCTAAAAAGTGTCCGAACTTACAGGGCGTTAAAATCGTATACACAGCGTCAATCACGCTTTAGTCTTCGTTTGTTCGACTGACAGCGCGCTTGTCAATGATGCCGTATAGTGTAGTAAGACCTTGTAAAAATTACTCAACTAAAGTGAAAAAACAGGGTGGTATATCATATTTTAAGTAAGTACTACATTGTGTTATCATAGTTATCATTTAAAAGTGTTATTTTATGCTCTAGTATATATAGTATTTAATTTATATTTAAATTAATCGTAAATATAATTTACAAAAGCAATCAAAATAATCAAATAGCTAACTGTCTCTTGCAGACTCGTTGCTTGCGTAAAAGACTGAACGAGACCCATCACGTCAATTTCAATTGAAATATTCGTTTGAAATATTTAGAACAAAAATTTGATGCTAATGTTATTATTAAAATATTTTTAAATACATGTTAGTAATACTTTCAAATGTTGTTGTACTCTTTCTACGGCTCGGGGTTACGAATCAGAAGACCGAAAATACATTTGCCCGAAATAACGTTTGCATGAATTTCCATAATCCAGAAAGTATTCTTTTAGGTTTTTCGGGAGAAATATGGCCTACATTTATTTCTCTCATGAGTTTGGGTGTAATTTGTGGTTGTCTATATGTGTGTGTCCATGGCACCCGCGACACAGGGTTTCCCTAATGCGGGCAATGTTGAGTGTGTGCGTTATCATAATTATTATTATTAATCAGTACCTAAGTGTTTATTTTGGAAAGCGTTTCTCTTGCGCAATCAGTATGGCGCATTTTAATTTTTTAATTATTTCACAACGGAAAATACCCTACTACCGTCATAGCCGAACTTTTTCATGCACAAGAAACATTTGCAAGAACTATGAGCAGTACGCCTATGCCTGTTGACAGAATCAACAGTCGTCAGTGATAAACAGTAATAATTATATTGAATCAATGTAAGCACTACAACATATAGAAAAGTGGTGACGTTTTTGAGCTCAGTATAATTACAGTACTATGCACGAACGGGTTAAGAAAATGGTAAGAAAAGAAAGTAAACCAGAGCTGATACAAGCTTGATAAAAGACCATAATATTAAAGTTTTGGTATGTGATTATATTAATGAGTGAACAAAAACACTGCATAATAATACAAATAGTAACAACCTTGATAGCCTAACGGTTTGCACTGTGGGCACTGGATGAGAAGTTCCCGGGTTCGATACCGGTAGGATCAATTTAACAAATTAACTTTTCTATATGGTTTTGGTCTTGGTATTCTATTGTAAGACAATTACGTGGTTTGAAACTAGGGAACTCTCTGTACATACTCCCCATGAGTATCAGAGCAACAGAATCCCAGAGCAGAACCAATTTACAAAAGTTCATTTCCCAAATTGGTTCAATTGGGAATCGAACCTGGGACCAAAAACGATGGAATTTATTCATTTCGAAAAGTTCTCATTTAGTTTTATACTTGATTGAGCTGATTTTTTACGGTTTTTAAAAAACTCTCGAATAACTCGAGAAATCGGGTACGAGAATTCTCGGAATTCAAGAACAAAAAAGTCAGACACCCTAGCTCGTAATAAATGGCATTGTATAAAATTCAACATTTACGTATAATTACGTATAATTTATTTATAAATAATAAAGGCTACTTCATTAATTGTTCAAGTAGTTTTCGCTAGAAGCTACATATGGTACATTTTGGTAAGTTTCCAGTGGAAGCTGAATATGGTGTTTTTTGCGCCTTTCAATTGTTGCAAGCAAAATTAGGCAGTACTGCAATGACATTACAATTTAAATTCAACGTTTTAGCTTTTTCATATTCCTTTACATGTCACTACGTTTAAATAGGTTGATTTGGGACATTTTTTTCGTGGTTTTTGTATTAGACCCGTCATCCATTTATTTGTAAGTCAATGAGTAAATTGCGAAAACAGGATTTTGTATCATATTTTCACTAAACAAATATATTGTGTTATCATAGTTCTCATTTAAAAGTGTTATTTTGTACAGTTTTATCGTATTTAATTTATATATAAATCAATCGTAAATATAAATTAGAAAAGCACACAAAATAATCAAATAGCTAACTGTCCTTTTTCTACACATTGCATGCGCAAAATATGGAAAGAGACCCATTACGTCAATTTCAAGAAGCTTATATAAACTTTTCGGTCATTTCCAATTGTTCGAACCACAAGCGATTGAGATATTTAGAACAAAGAAACTATAGAGTCGCTTTGATTTTAATCTTATTTAAAAAAATATTTTTTATTAATGACGTTTAATTCGAGCTAACGATATAAAATGTCGAATGTATTTTTTTAGGAAGATTGAAAAACTAAACTAAATCGGTTTTCGGAATTACGGTTTACGTTTAGTTGGAATATCAGTACATTTCTTATAGTACACGCTTTTTTATTTTTTATTTATGATAACTTGTTACATTATTAATTCATAATCTTAAACTTAACAGTATTTTATAAACTAAAGTAAGTTTTTCTAAATACCGACGATTAATCGCTAAGCGGTTTTAACTTCACATTAATTAATTAATTTAAGGCTTAATTTCACATTTGTAGTAATATTTGTATGTTTGTATCTGCCCAACTCTTTATTTCTTTAAGTGAATTTGCACAAAATTCGACATAATAATATATATAAAAATTAATTCATATTTACGATAAAGGCTACTCCATTACTCTTGTGTTCAAGTAATTTTCAGTCGAAGCTAAATATGGTACATTTTGTTAAATTTCCAGTAGAAGCTGAATTTGGTGTTTTTTGGGTCCTTAAATTGTTGCAAGCAAAATTAGGCAGTACTGCCATGTTGTTACAATTTAAATTAAATGTTTTAGTTTTTTATATTTCGTTACATGTCACTACGTTTGTATAGGTTAACTTCGGACATTTTTTCGTGGTTTTTGTATTAGACCCGACATCCATTTGTTGGTTGGTCAATGTTTACAATGTAAAAACTAAAAGGAAGCAGGTTTTTAATTCAATTTTTTTTTAATAATTTAGAATAAAGAACTAAACAGCCATTTAAGTTTAAAAGAATGACTGTATAATAATTTTTAATAGCTGTATTTTCTAAAAGATTTAAGATGTTTTAATAGCAACTGTTTTAAATTTGATATTTTCTAAGAACTAAAGGAGGTTTAAGTATACATTTCTGTTGTTTTGATTGCAAATAAAATAGAATAAATTATTGTTTAATGTTTTTTTCATTTCCGACAATAACAAGGCTGAAAAATTAAGTTGACTAATTTGTACTACATAACTTTCAATAAAAAGCTGCAATATTGACCATTTTTACTTTTGAAACCTATCACTTTTTGTCGAGTACTATTGCTTACTACTTCACTGATTGTTGTAACAACAACTAGCTAGTACCAGACGTACCGAAAGAATCGGGAAATACTGGTTCCATAGAAGTCTGGTACCAAAAAAAATCCTGGTACTTCAAAACTGCCTGGTTCCGACTTCCCTAGGAAAAAACCCAGGTTAGTTTATTCTTATTGTTGCACATTTTTTTTAATAAACCTGTCAGGTGCAAAGTTATTGAAAATTTTTCACTATTTATTTGTTCTGTAAAGTTAGTGTTTTGAGAAAACAGATTTATTGAGTGGGGTCTTCAATATAAATAATGATTACATTTGTTTCTCAGTGTGCTACTACACATAGTTAAATGTTAATAAGCACTCTATTAAATGTAATATATGTGAAGGATTGTTCTTAAAGTTTGTATAATTTGTAAAAGGATACGGTACTAACAAAGCAGCGCCATTCAACAGTTTCTCCACAATTTCCTCACTAAACAGACCTCCAAATCTTAAACTACATTGCAGATTGACCTCGGCTAAACTTATCACTTTTTCGGCTAAATTTACGAGGTTCTTGCAGCTAAACATTTCGCCCTGGCAAGTAAAGCCCTCGTGTCTCGCTATGGTCAAGATTTCGTCTGGTGGTACTTCTCCATTCATTAACATGGAAAGGGCTACAAGCCCACACGTTGGCCCCACTTGTATTATTGACTCAAAAGCCCTGTAGCTATATTTATAAGGGGCTTCATCCAAGCAAATGTTGAATTTAGCACAGGCTTCCCAAAGTTGTGGATACTTTGTGTCCCAATTGCAAATATCTAAATAAGGAAGATGTCTATTTGCGTAACTTGTCGGGGGACTTGGTGATATATCTAGTCTCAGTGGCGGTGCTGGTGGAGGAGGTGGTGGCGGCGGAGGCGGCGCTGGGGGGATTGTGCTCATATTAAACGTATAGAAATAGGGCTAGGAGGTAAAGCGCATAATCCTTAAAATTACCAATTACTCTTATATATATTAATAATTGACATTGTCTGTTGCTAATACTGTTGAAAAAAGTTTAAAACAAAACTAAATACGAAATTCTACACTTCGAGTCAAGGTATTTTTTGCAAATAACCCAGATAAGAAATAACCTATGTCGTTGTATCACTCATTTGTCAGTGTCACTTCAGTTGACGTAAAACAGCTGACTGAAGTTTTGTCGTGCATGTCTTCATTATGATATTATATACTATTTTACAATACAAAAAGATTCTTATGAACTAATTATAAAAATAAAAATAAATTAACAGAGATGTAAAATAAATATTTGCAAATTTGCATTGCAATTTGCATCTTTACAAAATTAATCATTCAAACGTAACGGAAGTGAGACTGATTGATACTTCTAAAGTAGAAGAATTATTCGTGTCTGTACCAATCATTCACTCATTCATTGACCGAAAAGACCGTGAGAAATAAGGTCGATGGGAAAATTGCTTGAGTGTAAGATACTAATTGCAAGTACCATATTAAGTTATTGGAGTGCGAGAGAAAACTTTCTTATTCGCACTGGTGGAACCGGTTTCACGAGAAAATAATTCATCATGTCAGGAAAACACAATATAGATGGAGGGCAGGCGAAGGAGGAGGAACACGTTTCATCATATACGCCTATAAGGGAGGCTGAACCAGGTATTTTAGATTTAGAAGTGCATATCTAGCTACTATATTTATTAGTAATGCTACTTTTACTTTTGGTTTTGGAGAGGATTCCAATGGTTTTCATTTAAAAAACTGTCTTCCTGAGCATGCGAATCGGCGTTATGGCTGTTAATCCACGCGGCATCGCTTACGTCGTATCAGGGTCACATATCAATTGCTCTTTGTTTCGATTAAAATAGTAGGCATACGTCTCGTTATCATAATTTGACGTTATCAGTGTAGTGTGAGATGTCAAAAACACAGATGTTTCATTGCCGAGTTGCGAATGTGATTTAATCAAATCAAAATTATCGACACTCAGTTTTCTTTGAAATACTTGTTTCTATTTCGAAAAACAAATAACTAAATTCCATTCCTATGTGTACCATTTAAGTACTGAAATCGATATTTCGCTATATTTTTGTACATAGTTTCTGATAAATAATTTGAATTATGTTTCTCGAGGTTACATCCTAAAATTGGTTGGGTTATAAAGCGCTTTTTACCGGACGTACGCAGCGTCGCCATTTTGTGCAGAATCGCTGTGGGCGCTGAATGATGCAACGTGCCAGTTTGTTTGCGTTAAAAAAGTCAATTGTGTTAAATTATTAACATTTGCAATCTACAAGATGTCAGCAGAAATGACAGGTAATTATGGTTTTCAGCATAAATTTAAGTTCTACTATCTATTTACTCCTTAACGTGTCATGGATTTGCTGGGAGCATCATTGTCCAATCAAGTCCCTTTATAAGGAAAATTGCTTTGAATTGGCTCATAAATCCCTCGGCTTTCCTTGTTGGGAGGGTCACAGTTATTAATATTCAAATTAATAAACATTTGGTATGATAAAGTACGTAATGTTCAGTCTAAATTTCTTCATTCTTTTAAATATTTATTTTAAATTAGCTTAGGTATGCAAATAAAGATATTCTTCTTTTGTCTTATAACAGAAGTAGAGTACATAGAAGCGGCGGATGGTGAATACATTCACTTGGAACGGGCAGAAGCAATGGATTCTGAAGTTCAAGATGAATCTGACGATCACTGGGATGTTAAAACCATCACAACAATGTTGAATCTCTATTTACAAAACATAGACAAATTTCGGAACCCAAAAGTTCGAAAAAAGAATATCTGGATGGAAATTGCCAGTGTCCTAGGGAAAACCCCAGACAGTTGTGATAAAAAATTTAGAAATTTAAAACAAACATATGTAAGATTACTAAAAAAGAAGAATGTCGAAGGCTTGTCAACAATTAAATGGCCATACTTTTCAATTTTTGAAGAAATATACTGCATAAATGGAGAATATCAGTCTGAGATTCAACAGAAAATACACGAGGTTGCAAATGAAAATGTTATAGCTAAAGCTTTGTTGTCAATAAAGACTGGACAGAGCTATACGGCAGATATTAATGAGAATGGTCACAGTTCACACAGTACAACTGAAGAGGAACGGAAGAAGTTTAGTAAGAAACGTTATGCTGAGCTTAAAAAAGTGACATTAGAAATGAGAGATAGACAAAGGAATGTTGAAGAGAAGTTGGACCGGTTGATAAGTATTGTAGAAGAGTCAAATGAAATCCAAAGGCAAAGAAATGCACTTTTTGTACAGTTTTTAGAAAAGTTAAATGACAATCGGTAATCATATTTAGTTTATATTATTTATAATGACTTAATTTCATTATGTAAATGTAACAAGTATTTTCAATAAACGAAGATGATTTTAATAAATTTTTGATTTTTAAAAAGTTTTTCAGCTTAATTAAAAACTACAGGTCGTATTCTAGACCTCTATTCAATGCTCAAGTCAGGATTGCACTGGCAACACAAGCACTGGAAATACGACCCTAATGGCAGGGACTTGAGTATGATTTCTAGTGCTTTGAATCATACTCAAGTCCTGACTTAAGCATTGAGTAGAGTTCTAGAATACGACTCTCAGTAAGTTTTGCTAAACGAAGTAAGCCTTAAATGAGTTTTCCAGAGGTCCTTGTTTTAATCTAATATTATATTATCTTTTTTATGTAATTGATATATAGAATAAGAATGTTAATCTTTTTGAATTGTGAAATATCTATAATGCACACACTCATAGCCCTGCACTAGAAACCTTGTGTCGCGGGTGCCACGAACACACATAGATAGTCACAAATTACATCCAAACTCATGAGAATGATAAATGTAGGCCACAAAAATATTTCTCCCGGTCTGGGAATTGAACCCTGGACCTCTGCATAACCGTTCAGCTTCAGAGGCAGTAAATAAATATTACATAAATAGTCGATATATCAAGCAAGTTATATGTGGTATTTCTAAAGTATCAAACTCACCTTGTGTTTACATTATATGGTTGTTTATTTAGTGGTAGTTACAATTTTTAGTTGAAAATGTGGAATACTCAACAATTAGTACACAGAACCTAATAATTAAATGTAAGTTATCCAATGCCATTTACGAATTTTATCAACATGAAACAATTTAAAGTGCTTAGCAAGCCAAAGAGAGATTTTAAGAAAAAACAGAACAGTTTCATAAATAAAAATTAATGGATAATTAAACATTAAACAATGTTCTTGAAATTCAATTTGAAAAAAGTAGGTACGAAGCTGAATATTAACATCGATTGCGTAAGCAAATATTTAGAAGTAGAAACTTAATTTTGTTGCGTATTTTTTAAAAATGGTATCAATAAATATAAATTATACACTTTGATTTAAGAACGACCTATGAAAAACTGTTAAATTTTATGAATTTTCCACAATCTATAATATGTAAAGGAAACAAAATAACTTTGAAAGGTCCCTAACTATAAATTGTGTAACTTTTCTATTCTACATACGAATGAATTATGAATATAAATAGATTTTTTCACAGTTCAGATATACGGAACAAAACACACCACTTTGAACGTTTCTATAACATGTCCTATCTATTAGCAAGTCAGTATAGTTCAATTACAATATCTTCTGATTACTTCAATCTCGCGTGTCTCTGGACCGTAACATACAATTTGCGGTATGCGTTATTCCATTATAACAAGCTAACGAGATCTTTGTACTTCATTTATGGATTTAAAGTGATTTAGTGCAGTTTGAAGCTTTGTTTATTTTTGAACACGGTAAGTAAAGTTTTCGACGACTAACGAGAAAAATATTTTCACGGTATCGACGCGTACTTATTACGAGCTTGACTAGATACATTTAAATAACTGTCTATAGTACTTAATTATAATTACATTGTCACTAGAGCGTAGCCTAGGTAGGTAGGCAATGCGTATTCAATAACGTAATGTGAGATTGAATATTGCTGAGTGGAAAACGTCATCAATGAAACCCTTACGGTTTATACTTGAAATCTTTGTTTATTGAAACTTGTTAGTGGCGGAATTTAAAGACGGTAAGTCGGATATAAGCCACTCGGCAAATGCTTCAATGCATATCGATATTATTATTTGCTAGTAAATTGTAAAAAAAAAAAATAGAATAAAGTCCTCAGGCCAGGTGATGGAAATCGTGTCGTGTAACACCGTCTGCCGTTGCTATTTATATAGAACACGCATTGTAATGAGTAGAACACGCAATAGTTATACAGGGTGGCCCGTTTATAATAGTCCAAAATTGTTTAAAATAAACATTAGTTCGAAAATCTGTGTGCGTTTTGAAAATGTTGTGCTCTAGTACCAAAACCACTCTAGTTATAAAGTATTTCACTAAAGGAATTGAAATTTGGTGTGGAAGTAGCGTGATCATGTAACCAGAGTGCAATTATGTTCTTATTTTGCGCCGTTATTATAGGACCTTTAAGAGATTTTTTATTTGTTCACAAATAAAATGTAAATTTTCTAAAAAATCCTGACTGAGAAAATTTACATTTTATTTTATTTTATAAATTTACATGTTCATACATGTTATGATGTTTTACTAACATGATATTAATTTATTTTTTTGTTAAATTACTCCATTCGTTTGTTATAATTATTAATAAAAAGATCGAATACAAAGAAACATTCCTTCGACCTGACAGGACCTGTTTGGTTCTGGTCCTGTCTGATCATTGACTTACAAATAAATGGACGACGGGTCTAATACAAAAACCACGAAAAAAATGTCCCAAGTCAACCTATTCGAAATTTAAATTGTAATCAATGCAGTATCGCGCTGTCAGTAGAACAAATGAAGACTAAAGCTGAGTGTCGCGCTCTGTATACGATTTTAGCGCCTTACAACTGCGGACACTTTTTAGCGCGGACCCGACGTCCATATAATTGTAAGTCAATGTGTCTGATCGAAGGAATTTTTGTTTTGGTTTCTAGTGACTCATTGACTAGAAACCTAAATTAACAACTTCTATTATAATCATTAATCGGACAATTTTAACTTAATTTCTTAGAAGAAATGATTAGTTCAGCTGAGATTTACCTAAATTATTCTCCTAATAGGCATAGTGCACGAAAAGAAAACGTTCAAAAACTGCTAAAATGTTGGCCCAACTGATAATATAGAGAGCTTTAATTGCTAGCCAGTATATGTATATGGTCACATGACTTCCATACCAAATTTCCATTCATTTAGTGGAATCGTTTTCAAACTAGAGTGGTTAGGCGACTAGAGTAGTAAATTTTCAAAAAAGTAAATAAAATGTAGATTAGTTAAACGTATAGTATTGTATTGTCTGTGGTTAAACTATTGATTTTTGGAACTAATGTTTATTTGAAATGGGTCGTTACGATGCCCTGTACCTACATTTTTTCTTTTGGACAACTATAATTTGTTACCATGTATATGTTCAAAGTCGCTACGTCAACGAAACTTAGTTTAAAATCTTAGAATTAATCATAGTTTATCTCATAGAACGAAGTCAAAGGTCGATATCGCTAACTCGATAGTTAACTAAATTGGTTCATTTTTTGGTCCTATTGTGTCGCGTGTCGGCAGCGCAGAATAACCTGTAAGAGATATGACTACAAATTCCTAAATTTATTTTACATGCGAACTTTTTTCTTCGTAATTGTATTTCCTATTGACAAAAAACGTGTAGGTAAATCCAAAATCATCATTTTTTATTTAGTACACATCCGTCATATTTTAGCTTTTTTTTTTAAATCGACACATTGCGTTAAAATAATGTAAGTAAGCAATGATTATACTTGTAATAAGTATCAAAGCCAAAGTATCAAGTTCATATGAACAAAAAAAAGTTGCGTGTTCGACATTCAATTATTATTTTCGATGTTCAAATTTTCTTAATTGCTACGTTCAGAAAGTTTACTTTTCTATTTTGTTCTTTGGACACACTCAAAGGACGGAGTTCCTAGTAGTAGGACTATAAGGAGGAGGAAAGGAGGTATTTTTTGTCAGTGCGGTTACGGACAGTTATAGATTCCAGTTCTATTGTTAATGTAAGACTCATTAAAATACCTGATATTTTTATATTATCAGATACTTTAATGGGTGGCTGTATTGAGTTATTTCGGACTTCTACTACTACTGTAAAATTATCCGTCAGCGAGCTAATCATAAACTCAAGATTTTTTTAAATTCTAGGCGCATGTAATAAGCTTAAGAACACAAAAAATACCTGTTATAACAATATATTAATATTAATATAAAAATTTATTACATAAGTAAAGTTTTTACAATTGTTATTTCTTACAAAAGTAAGAAATGTTACAATAAAATATAAGAAATGTTACAATACAATAGTAAGATTAGTTTTCTTTGTCCTTTACACAAATTTATAACTAAATCTTTTTACCCTAGAGTTCCGGTCAAACCTTGCTAAGTCAAAGGAGAAGTTATCCTCTGACGGCGCCGAGGAGAAGCTGCTGCAGAAGGAAGACGAGGCCAAAATCACGACCAGAGTGGATATGGCCGATGCCAAGTACGTCGTCGGAGACCATCGCAACGGGGACGCTAAGATTGAGCTGGATGCTAATAAGCGGGTGAGCTACTAAAAAACTAAAAATATTGAATTGTATTGTAATGGAAGCTTTAATAGCCTAGGGGGAGAACGAATGCATCTCATTTGAGATGGCGACGTCTCAAATTTCTGTAGCGGCGTGTGCCTGTAGGATAGAAAAGACATTTATTGCAACGCCACAAAACATAAATAATACAAACAAGATATTAATAATACTTAGACAAACAAAACAAAATAGAAAGAATTAAAATCCGAAATAAAAAATACAAAAACAAGAAAAAAAAACATAAATCAAAGCTCAAACAGCAATTTGACTCTTCTCATTCCTCCTCTGGTTTTGTTTCCAACTCATTTACACTTAAGCCAATACGACTTTAGAACACTGCAATATTCAAAATGCGCCGAATAAGCTAGGTTTCAAGCAATCAGTCCGCAACTTCGGAGTCTCAATCTGCCTTACATCAGTCTGACATTTATACATAATATATTATATGTGTATGCAGTGTGTATATAGATAGTTTATGTATGGAGATAGTTATGTATTATATGTTATGTATCGTATATATATTGTGTGTAGATAATGTATCATAGTTATTTATGAATTTTGATTTACTTGTGCGTTATTTATTTGTTTTTATTTGTCATGTTATGCATCCCTATTATTTAATCTGAACTCGGCTCTTCGGTTCACTGGTAGAGAATGCCTAATGGCATTAACTCCGCCATTTGTACAGGGTCAAGATTGACACTTAAGATTGAAATCCAACTCTATGCCGCTTATGATAAGAACAGTCCAAAGAACAAAGTGTCAAGCTTGACGTGCTCTTGACTATACTACTTTGTATGCAATAAAGTTTAAATAAAATAAAAAAATAAAGCTGCCTCTGTGGCCGAACGCCTACCATGCCAGACTGCCACGCAGAGGTCCCAGGTTCGGTTCCCGGGCCGGGAGAAATATTTGTATGGCCTACATTTATTTCTCTCGTGAGTTTGTGGTTGTCTATGTGTATGCCTATGGCACTCGCGACTCAGGGATTCCCTAGTGTGGGGCTATGTTGAGTGTGTATATTATTAAAAGAAAGCAAAACAGACGAGAGCAATAAACAAAATATAACGATTACAATTCGTATTGTCATTTATGCGATTGTGGCGTACGCAAAAGAGCCTCATTCAGCTTATGCCACGGCCATAACTGGACTGTGGAGCTGGTTTTCAATGAGCCTGAGAATTAAGGCTTTTTGTGAATGTTAGTTGCAATTACTCACGCTAACGGCGAATGACAATAATCATGATGAAAGCTACGTATGCGATATAGTTCCTAATCTTTCTCTCGAGAAGAGCCCCTTACTCAGCCGTGGAACTAGTGGTGACGTGATAAGGCCAGGATGAAGGATTAAAAACCTCGGTAGTCTAATGGACCCGGGGATTAAACCCGGGACCAATACAAGCTACCCACCGTAAAATAAGATGCTCAAACATTCTATTTATTACTTACTATCTGTGTTAATTATTACGTTGTTTTTTTTTCTTGTGGCGTTTATTAAAGGTGAAAATGAAAATTTTCAGAGACACGGAGGATCCAAAGAGAAAACGTAGTTTTTTTTATAAAATAACATGTTATCGTGTCATTTGTAATTGTCATTTTGTCGCCTTACTTTCTCAAACTCGTATCTTAAAGCACAAAGTTACTAAAATAAAAAAAATGGATTTTAATATACAAATTTTTCAGGTTGATTTCACATCATATTTCCTTCATATTCACACACTGACTTTTACTTATTGTTAAGGTAATGCGTCCAAATTAACACCCTTGATAAGGAATTTAAAATAAATACAAAGTTTTGCCATCTCCTGAAAAATCACTCTTTACAAGATACAAGTTTGAGAATTTTCTCAAACTTGTATCTTGTAAGGCGACGATTTGTTGTAATTATTATATTAATATCGAATTGTTATATTCATATATATAAAATATCAATGGAGAACATCGTGAAAATTTATAACAAATTACATTTATATTTATGCAATTTTTTGTCTGAAGAAAAAAGTTTACGATCACTGCTTCTTTGCTTACAGTGTTTCTAATTCTAAAATACTCGTAAAACCGAAGTATAAATTCATACGTTGCATAAATAAATAACTAATAAGGTTGAAAACTTTTTGTTTGCTAAAGTTCAAGGGTTCTAATTTGCATGAGATTAATGGCACATCGAATAGAACGAAATAAAAAGTGTATAGATAGACATTGTCATTAGTGTCATTGACTAGACAGTCATAAAATCATTATCATCAAACAAATATAAATGAGATAAACAATTTGAATTTCAAAATATTTATTGTTACATTGTAATAAGTGTATGTTAATCAAGTAGATGAATTTAGTATTATGACAGAGAAGAAAGAAAAAGAATTTGTCATTGATGAGGGAGTCAAGTTTTCGACAGTGCAAGACAGTCTTGTAACCACAACGACAACGATTAAGGTAGCGAATGTTTATTTTTCTTCTTTGTCGAAATAGTTCTGGGCCCATTATCAAAGCTGGTTCGATCAGCACAGTGTTTCAGACACCAATAGTATTTCGTAATTTTGACACTTTATTGCGTAGATTTTTCAAAATGTGTCAGGGCCCATTATCAATAGT